TGTTTAGTAACGTTCCCACCTCATGAGTCAAGGTGCGCCTCCTCTGGGAGGGACTTTAAGCCGTGGGTCCCGTGTCATAGATTTACGGCACGTAAAAGATCCTCATGTCTCTAGGAGACCTCTGAGCAAAATTAGGCAAGTTCCCACCCAAGTAATTTCCAGTGCCTCTGGTCGATGGGGGAAGTATCAGGTACCGAGGGCCGACCTCGTTGGCTGAACGGGGCTGATAGCACGCACAAGTACAGGTAGGGTATAGCGACTGGTAGAATATCAAAGGGGGACATACAATAGACTATTAGTTGCGGTGCATGGGGAAACCCACCCCCTCTAATAATAATAATCCCTGTTTATATCAAACATTCCTCTATTTGTTACTACAAATGTTAACAGGGAATATTATACTGTGATCTTGATGGAAGTATATTCACGTTTCTAAAGTGTTCTCTGCATGATTCTCTATAACTACTTTCTTTTATTATTCTGATAGCTCTCTTTTGTATCTTAAATATTCTTTCGGAATGTGGCGAATTACCCCAAAACATTAATCCGTATGTCATGATAGAGTGAAAAAATTAGTAATAAACACTTTTTAGAGTTTTAGTAGATAACATTGGTTTCAAGTTTCTTATCATGCAGCAAGCTGTATTTAATTTCTTTATGACTTAAACTATGTGCCTATCCCAGGTTATCTTATTTTGGATATTTAAGCAAAGAAATTTTATGTGATTCATACTTGTTAAAATAGCTCCTATGTCTCCCATATCTCTTGTCACCTTATTTTTTGTAGTGAAATTTATGTAATATGTTTTTGTTGTATTAAGTGACATTAAGTTTTTTTAAACCAATCATACATTTCACTATATACCTCATTTATTACATATTTAAATGTTATTGGATTTGTTTGCGCAATAAAAAAACTTGCATCATATGCAAATAGAATGGGAACACATTTCGGCTCCAACATCTACGAACTAGTGCCACCGAACCCACACGTCGTGATCCGTGCCGTCAGAGCTGGTCAGAGCCTTCTAAACCATTCGTGGAATTCGTCGTAATGCTTGATATGGGCCGCCAAAAAGGAAAAGGGGAAGTTTAAGTAGTACGGAATAATTCTGTAAACAGTAATGCATTTTTCGTTTCAAACAGCTATTATTGTATTTACGAAACTTAAACACTACAGATTATTACAGTCAATTATTTTATCATGTGCGATATGTTGAAAGAATTAAGACAACGCTCACAGAAGAGAAAAAAGCTCCTGGCTCAAACTGTAAGTTGTGCCATAACCCATGTAGTCGCAATTGAAGTGTATGTATTCGTAATTTGTATAAGGTAAAATTGTCCGTGTCCATAATTAATTGACCACCACGCTGTGAAGACGTATGGGGGAGTGGAGGTATAGCTCCTCCAATCTTGACCTTGGCACTCGGTAGAGGTTACCGGCCAGTTCCACTCCCCGGCCAGTTTCCCTCGTAAAGATCTCGCGGTACCCATTGGATAGAAGACCGTGTGAGTCCCAAAGCCAGTCTGGACGGTGTGCAGAAGTGAAATATCTCTTGCCCTTGGTGAGAATCGAACCCCTGACATAAATCGCGTATCCCGTCGCTATACTGACTGATCGAATTTTGATTTTGTACTAATCTTATTACCGTATTTCGTCTACGCAACTCTAAGAATGTATGCCCATTTCACTGTTTATTAATAATCACTACATATTTGGAAGAAAGTTTGATTTTGAAATTTATTTCATGCAGTATCAATACAGCTCATACACTCTTAACTTTCCATGAAATGTAACTGAAAATTAGTGTTTTCAGGTATGTCTTTTAAAAGAGATGAGAATTTATACTATTTTATTTTGGTGGGAAGACTTCGGTTATGGGTTAACAGTTGTTATTACATTGAAAGTTTGTTTGTAGGTCATTTAATGACACTGTTGCAAGTTCAGAGGTGTGTGGTTTCAAATGAAATAGGAGACGTCAGGAGTGGTGAGTAGGTAAAAGATGTGGAAGGAGGTGGTTATGAACAATTTAGAGATAACCCAGCATTGCCCTTAAGAGAGCAAGGAATTCTTTGAAAATTCACATTAATGATGTCAGTGGCCTGACTCAGGTTCAGTCCTTCAGTTCAACATGTCTTGTGGGTTACTGCTACACCAACCTGCTTGATGCAGAGAATGTTGACTGAAAATAGGGCAGTACATAAATTGTAAATTTTTTTAAGTCTGTGTGTCACTAATTTGGTTTTCAGTGTTTGGGTTCTTTGTTAGATGAAACCTTTACTGCAGTATTGTTATGATTTTAATTACTTTATTTGTAATGTTTGTAGTTTGGGGTCTCAAATGTAGATGAACTACGGCAAGCTCTTGGTACATCAGTAGAAGCTCCAGCAAAGAAGGTTTTCCAAGAAAGCACACCACAAGAAGAGAGGGTTCAAGAAAAAATTGTGACAGAAGATGCCAGCACTGATGAGTTAGTGTATACAGATTCCTCAACTTTCCTAAAAGTAAGTGGTTGCAGAAACTCACTGCTGTTATACAGCTTGAAGTTCACTAGTCTGACTACAGAACTTGCCATTTGACCCTACTGAGCCTCTGATCAGCTTTATATTACTACAGTGTATTACTGTAATATCTATTTTAATATTGCTGTTCTGCAAATTATGTTCTCTGTTTCTAACATATCTTGATCCATTTGTTTGAACACCTCACAGTGTCAGATGAAGAGTAAAGACTATAAAACTTATGTAAATATCTCTTATTTCCTTTTTCAACTGTGAGATCCAAATATTCTGAGCACTAGTAACATCTGCATCTGAGTGGGAGACCAGTTTTGCATCGGTGGAAAATGTGGCTGAATCTGTAGTTTATAGTTGTAAATATTGTTTTCTTTGGAAGAAGACAAAAAGATTATCAGTACTAAATAATAGTATTAGTTTCATAAGTTTATTCAGGCAGTTGTAATAACTGGCAATTTTGATCCCATGTTTTGTATGGTTATGTGCATATACATACATACATTGATTATTTTGCAGGGTACACAGTCATCAAATCCTCATAATGATTACTGTCAGCACTTTGTGGATACAGGACAGCGTCCACAGAATTTTATTCGTGATGTAGGGCTGGCAGATAGGTTTGAGGAGTATCCAAAGTTGCGAGAACTTATTAAACTGAAGGTGGGTTTCACAAATGTGTCTTCACTCCGTGATTTTGATTTTACAAGACACTGAAAAACAGAAGATATATATAATAATTCTGACCAGGCCACCCTGCTGTTTTAAGATCCTAAAGTACTTTTTAAACATTCATACCTGTGGTGGGCAACAAATGATTTCAAGATTATATTATATGTATTGTAAGAAATATACAAGTTTGAGAGTTAAACAAAATATGACATAATAATTAAAGTTTTATTTAACAGAAAAATGAACACCCAGAAAATTCTTTAACAAAATCAGTTATTAACAGTTTGTTGGTATTTTTATATTTGAAAATCAGGATTCACTCAGATAAGTAGAATCAAAACATTCATTTGGTCTGAGTTTCTTTTTTATTGGCAGTCTAACAATGCATGTAGTCCGAGACTAATGAGCGTTTTTATTCTCACGTAAACAACTATTACTAGAACTAAACTCTGAGACTATGCCCACCGTTGTGTCCCAGCGTCTGGTGTCTTGAGCACATTGTTGTCACATGCGTGTCACTGTTTACACTAATGCGCACTTGCACTACACTAGTTTATAAGGCTTGAGTCTCTTGAGCCTTCTCACTGACCTGTCATTGTGAAGAAGCTGTATCACTTCCATATTGGTGTGCTGGTAAAGCCAATCTTCGTGCTTCTTTCCTGTCCTCTTAATTTCAGTAGTGACCATTATAATGCCTAGATTCCTATGGATGTAGCTATTACGTGCATACCAAGGGGCACTTACTATTCCCCTCAGGACCTTATTCTGAAATTTCTGTATCCTTTATATGTTATCTTTAACTAGTACTGCACTGCCTCCTCTTCTGGTGTTTTGAAGGTGTACTGTGTGATATGCTTGATATCCTTTTATTTTTATGTAAGATTGGTTTGTAAGGTTTGTTTCTGCCAGGGGACACATGTCAGTTTTCTGTTCGTCAAGAAATATTTGTGGCTCCTGGTGTTCTGCAGCAGTCCATTGACACTACATTATAGCACTCTAGGCATACCCCCCATTGATTTTGTCTGTAAGGGATAGGTCTCTTTTTGTTATTGTTTTCTAGTTTTGTCACCCTTTCTAGAATTGTCTGGTTCAGGCTTTCCTGTTGGTCTAGTTTAGCAATTATCTTCAGCAACATCTGGCTAATTGCACTTTCTTCTAATATTTTTGATTTGTTTCATTCTGGTCTGTCAAACTAACAGTTACAAAGACAAAACAACTCCATCCGGTGTGATTATTGAAGTTTTTGCTACTTGAAAACTTAGCACCCTTACATGTCTCGGTCCCTATAGACCATCATCAGAGGACATCAATACTTTTTTGGAATCTACTATCACAGTGGGTGTTTTGAGTGTTAAAATACATATACATACAATGTTTGTAGTGCACAATATATACAAAAGCCAACTTTTCCACAACTACAGCTTTCTTGGTATATTAAAGTTTTTAAAACTTTGTTATTTAAGTTAAATTTATAAACCAAATAGGTTCATGTCCCTTCTCCTGTTGTCTTTCTTGATGATACCAGGAATCTCCTTCTCAAGAGGGACAGGCGGCACAAGTTCAGCCCCTGTCAAGGAAGACAGTAGGAGAAGGGACACAAACCTATTTGGTTTATAAATTTTAACTTAAATAACAAAGTTTTTAAAAACTTTAATATACCAAGAAAGCTGCTGTAGTTGTGGAGAAGTTGGCTTTTGTATATATTGTGCATTACAAACATTATATGTATATGTATTTTAACACTCAAAACACCCATTGTGATAGCAGTTTCCAAAAAAGTATTTATGTCCCTCTGATGATGGTCTATAGGGACCAAAACATGTAAGGGTGCTAAGTTTTCAAGTAGTAAAAACTTCAATAGTCACACTGGACGGAGTTGTTTTGTCTTTTTTCTTCTAATATGTTTTGTGCCTGTTCATTATTACTTCTTACTGCCTGTGAATAGGACCTCTCTGCTTGGATGCGTGTATATTATGCTTTGTGTTCCTGTCTTTTTGCATTTTCATGCAACGTATTCTCTGTCTTTCTTCTAATTGTGCTGTTCAAATTTTTTGTAGTTCTTTTGCTGCTACACAGCCCTGTATTTGGCTGGGTGAGCTTCACCACAATTAACACATTTTGGGTGACTTTGCTCTGGTCTTTGGCACTCTTTCATGTAATGTTTCCTGATGCTCTTCACACACCTTACCACTTTCCTGCAGTATTTCTGCTTGTGTCCATAGGCCTGGCAGTTTTTACACTGTGGTATCAAATTGGATCTTCTCAGCATTCCTGTTGTTACTTTAATGCTAAACACTTCTTTTATTTCAAAGATCCCTTTGGTGTCCTCTTCTTTCTCAAACATCAGTATGTACAGTGTGAGTAGTGTTTTGTCCTTTCTGCTCCGTATTTGCAAGACCTCCATAATAGCGAAGTTTTTATTTTACAAATCTTTAATGACGTCTTCTGCACTGCAGGATGCATGTATATTTCTAGCCATAACTTTGATTGGCCTCGATAGTTTGTTTTCAAATTAATACCACCCTATATCGGTTTGATTAAGGGCCCTAGTTATGTCCCTGTAATCCTCTTTTTCTCTATAATTTTAATGTCTCCACTGTGTATTAGAATTATTTGGAAATTAGGGTTGTTGTGTTTCTGTAGGTGGTTATACATTTTGTGGTAATTCTGGACTTTTCCAACTATTATTGGCAGAGGTCTTACCTTTTTCTGCACATCTGATTGTTTGGTTTGTTCCATCTGTTCCGTCTTCTGTTGTTATGATGACATTTCCAGTGAGGCATTCATTCTTCTCTTCTTGTTTTTCTTCAGGATTCAGTCTGTTTCTCGGCTTAGTTCTTCATCATCTGTATGATAGTCCTTTGCTTGGTGTATTTTGCTTTTCCTTTTGTCTTTTTGGAACATACTTAGTTCTTCTCGCAATGTCTGCATTTCTTTCTTAAAAAGTTGTATAGTCTGTTGAGTTCCTTTCTCTCCCTTTGCCACATTAACTCTTTTCACTTTGTACATCATTAAACTTCTTGGTTTTTCAGTTCCAAATGAGGTCCCTGGCCACTAACTCAAAATCTCAACTGTTTGAACTTGTCAACTTTGCACTTTTTCCAGTAGGAACACAACATCACTCTCATTCTCACACTCATGGTTACTCTCGCTTTAGTTTAGCTGCAGCTGCGAACTACCTTCACTGAGTCCTCCAGTTAAAAATCGTGCTAAACGAGTAGGAGCGCTGTCTGCCATGCGTCCTCCTATCACAAAAACCATGGAGAAACTCCTTAGTCTGAGTGATACACTTTTTAGAAATTGAAATGTTTCAGTAGGTGCATTGCAACAGAAATTAAGCTGCGATTACAGTGATCACAGTGAACATAGTGATGTCTATTTGCAAATTATTAACTTCCATTTTGGAATAAAGCACATTTCTTTTAATTTTCCTTCTTCTACTTGCAAATTTATTGTTTTTTTTTCTTCTTTTGTAGTTCTCCTCTTATTGAAATACTCCCAAAAGTGTTTTTCTGTGCTGGTCCCACAGTGTGTTCTGTCTTCTCTAAGGTGTAAAGGGCAATTTCAACATATATTTTTGCATGGCTCAGCATCAGGTCTTCTCTTTGGAAAATTAAGAATAGCTTCTTAAAGATGTGATTGAGGTCCAGCAAAATTCTGATGAATGAAAAATTTATAAAGAACATATAAGGGCCAAAGTGAGCAGAATTTTGTAAAACACCTACTGTAAATTTTTTCTGGCGAGATGGTATATTCTACTTGTCTCTAGCAAACAGGCAAGTGGGCTTCTCAGTCCTTCATTATGGCACATGTACACTTCATTCCATAGAAATTTTAGACAGGATTTTTACAAAATGTATGAATTGTCCCCAATTTCAGGATGACTTAATAGCACACACAGCAACACCACCAATGTATCTTAAAACAGAACTTCAGACTTTTGACATGAAGGAACTGAACAGCAAATTTGACGTAATTCTAGTTGAGCCACCACTGGAGGAATATCAGCGAACAATGGGTGTAACGAACATGCAGTTCTGGGGTTGGGATCAGGTAAGCTTCATACTGTGATGTGAGCTTATGATTGTCCTGTACTGTATAATATAAAGAAGACCTTAGGTGAAGAACCTGAATGCACTGCCATCAGATATTAAGTAAGTTTGCTGTGCCAGCTGCGTAATTGCATATACGAGTAGTAACTTTGATGGGTTAGCTGCTGGAAGAAAGTGTCACCACAGTTCCATACTCAAGTTTCCAGTACTCTGCTCTGTCTGACATTTGGAAAAGTTTCTGAAGTGCTTTTAGGTCCAATGGCACAATCTGTTCACACATTTAATTCTGTTTTCTGACTTTGACATGTAATGCAATTAGGTTCCTTCTGAAGGATGATATTAAAAATAATTTATAATTTACTTCAGGTTGAGGTCTTCTGGGTGTTGCATCATATGGTCTTGTAGGTGGATGTAAACATTTCAGAGAAAGAGTCTGGTCTTATCTTCAGGGTTGAAATGAACAGGATTAAATGTGGTTAGATTGCATGAGAAGGGTCACATGGATAAACAAACAATCATGTTGGAGGGTGGAAGCCCATCAGTTCTATAGGTTGGGGAGGTACATGTAACTCATGCCATTATTTGACAAATCCTGACTTGAGTGAATGTCAAGTTCATGTGCTGAAAGAGATTTGTTAAAGAAATTTGGCCATGTGTGTATGTGTTTTTTTTTTTAATAATCACTACTAGCCAGCATTTATGGAATGGATTTTTCATTTGAATTAGGCTAATTTCTGAAAAGAAAATAATTTTTTAGGCTGTGTATATGTGCAGTATTTAGTAATTCTCTGAACCAGGTAGCCTATGGTTTTGAAATCCAGGGTGGTCATGCTCCAATACATTTAGTTACTATAGGACAATGGATAAAGTCTGAAAACCCAATATCTCTGTCTCCAATACATTGCTTTGATACTGAAAGAATTTTTTAAGTTTTGTGATAATAAGTAAAGAATTATAGATGTATGAAATTTATGTTGCTTATAAATTATAAAGTGTTCTATAAATTGTTATATATATTTGTCATATAGAATAAATCAATGATGTTACTTCCAGAATTTTTGTGATTGAGATTACCAAGTCCACATTTTAAGCATCTGGCTGTAAATTATGAATGTTATTGTAGCTGTTTCTTAACTGGGTTTGCTGTACACCTTTTGTGATATACATGGTGTTAGTGTACTTAATACTACTTAATACTCTTTTATGTGTATGAATGACTATAGGTGGGGTTTGGATTTGTAATTGGATTTACTGGACTCTTACAACTTGTAACTACAAGTAAGGATTATGCTTTCACTCTTCTACACACTTCACAAATCACTATAGGACACACTAGGTATTCTTGTTACAGTCTCCACTAGCTGTTGCTTTGTAGTGGCTTCCAATGGTGAATGTTCCCCTTCCCCCGGGTTCCCAAACTATCCCCAGCTTCAGCTACAAACTTCTCACAGGAATGGCCCAAAACAACTGAACTGCAGTTCGCTGACTAGCTCACTAACTCACCAACCAACTCTTCACTCCACTTTCAGGCTCGTGGCCATCCCACACCAACCTCCTACTCTTCTGCCATCTCAGGACTCTCTTCTAATGGCAGCTGATCCTCGTTATATAGCTTCAGCATAGACTGCACAGAAAATGCCACTTCCATTATTGTGTGTTCTCTTGTATCCAGGGAAACAGCATGTTCCCAGAACTGTTCTATAACAACAGCTGTTGCACTGTCGCATGTTTACATGGATTTACATAACAATGGTTGTTTCTCTGACTCCACCATTCTTGTGTTAAGCAAATATGGAGGAATGAGAATTTGGCTATTGTGGCATTTACAGCAATACCTCACATAGTCTGGCTTCACTATAGTCCAGTTCGAAAATTTCAAAACAAACTAAATCTTAATTGAACAAAATGAAAATAAATTTAAAAAAAATTAGTACACAAAATTATTTTTAATACATAGATGATCTTTTTTTTCCTTTCATACAGTCAAGTCTGTTTTTGTGCAGTTTATTCTTATGTGGTTTTAAAGTTATGTGATATGATACATATTTCAATTTTTTTCTGGGGTTTTGCGTTGTATATGTATGTACCCATGCTCGGGTCGTTCATTCTTGAGCTCTGACAGCTATCGCTGGAGGAGGTGGGGAGAGCACTACTTTAACAGAATTTTGGAAGAGCTACAACATCAGAAACATCGATAATATAGGCGAAGCATGGCATGAATAACGGCAAGCAGTATGAGAGCAATGAGACAGTACATCAGCTATTCATAGACTTCAAGAAAGCCTATGATTCAGTTAGGAGGGAAGTATTGTACAATATTCTAATAGAGTTTGGGATACCCATGAAACTAGTTAGGTTGATTAAAATGTGTTTATACGAAACATTTGTCTGATAAATTTCCAATCCAGAATGGTCTAAAACAAGGATATGCTTTATCGCCACTCCTTTTCAACTTTGCTTTAGAATATGCCATTATGAAGGTCCAGGGAAACCAGGTGGGACTGAAATTAAATGGGACACATCAGCTGTTGGTCTACGCCGATGATGTGAATCTACTGGGTGATAATGTAGATACCAGAAAGAAAAACACACGAACTTTAATTGACGCAAGTAAAGAGGTTGGTCTAGAAGTAAACACAGAGAAAACTAAGTATATGTTACTGTCTCATCACCAAAATGCAGGGCAAAATCATGACATAAAGATAGGAAACAGATGTTTTGAAAATGTGGCACAGTTCAGATATTTAGGAACAACGATAACAGATCGAAACCTGATTCAGGATGAAATTAAGAGGCGATTTAATTCGGGTAATGCTTGCTACCATTCAGTCCAGAAGCTTTTGTCTTCTCGTCTGTTGTCCAAAAACATAACAATTAGAATATACAAAACTATAATTTTTCCAGTGGTTCTGTATGGGTGTGAAACTTGGTCTCTGACATTAAGGGAGGAACATAGACTGAGGGTGTTTGTGAACAGGCTGTTGAGGAGAATATTTGGACCAAAGAGAGATGAAGTGACAGGAGGTTGGAGAAAATGGCATAATGAGGAGCTTCATAACTTGTACTCTTCTCCAAGTATAATTAGAATGATCNTGGATAGATCTGGCTCAGGATAGGGACCAGTGGAGGGTTCTTGTGAACACGGTAATGAACCTTTGGGTTCCATAAAATGCTGGGAAATTCTTGAGTAGCTGCAGAATTGGCGGCTCCTCCAGAAGGGCTCAGCTCCATGAGTAAGTAAGTAAGTAATGGAAACATATCATACCACATTGTGCAATTGATTTCGTTGGTTTTTAAACTCATTTTGTTGAAGTCACCAATAACCAGGGCCCAGATTTTGATGACCTGAAAATATTTAAAAAATGACCTATAAAATGACTGAAAAAATCCAGAAAAGTGACCTAAAATATAACCCAAAAATGTAATATGCAGGGCCCAGATTTTGATGACCTGAAAATATTAAAAGAATGACCTATGAAATGACTGAAAAAATCCAGAAAAATGACCTAAAGGAGAAAAGAAAGAATACTTCGCTTCCATGTTATTCACATTTCAGAAAACATATGAAGAAAAATTCCCTAAAATGGCCAAAAATGACAAGAAATACCCTTAGAAGTCCAAAAATTTACCAAAAAATTACCTATAAAATTTACATTTCTGTAACCAGCAGCTCATATCCGAGATTTATATATTTAAGAGCATCGCATAGGATACAAGGAAAAAAAGACATGTCATCAAAATCCGGGCCCTGCTAATAACATAGTGGAAATTGGACAGAAACTTGGTTTGAGTGAGTTAGATTCTGTCAGTGTATTTGAGTGCATCAAATCGAACACTAATGAACTAGATAATGAAACATTTATTAACATAGATGAACAACGGGCTTATGAAGAACGGAAGGACAACTTAGACCATGACGACTGTGTTGAAGTGCCTGCACGAGAATGAACAGCTGAACAAGTATCAAAAATTATTGGAGTGGTTGAAACCTTGTCAGAGCATATTATGGAAGTTGATCCCAATATTGAACGTAGGCTTACAATTCACTGAACGATAAACAATGCAATTTGTTGCTACAAAGAAATGTATGAAGAGAAAAGGCCAAAGAAGAAAAATGTGCAGACATCAGTATTGCAATTTTTAGAGAATAAAAAATGAATTGTGAAAAACATAAATTTTTAAAATTATTTCTAATGAAGACATTTGAATTTATTAATCGTGTTTTATTTATTGGAAAACAGGTATTTTTTGGAACCAATTATCATTTTTTGTATGTATTTAGTTCCTCGATTAGTCCAGTTTCAAACAGTCCAGGATTTTTGCGGAACTGATTACCTGGACTATGCAAGATATTGCTGTATATTCTTTTGCAAAAAGGTTAACCTTGAACCACCCATGTACAATGATTATACTATATTGTAGCATGTAGTATGGTTACTGTGCAGTGATCACAAGAAGGAACATACGTTGCTTGGTAATGGTCGGTAAACATATTTCCACGGAAATGTTATCCAGTCTGTCGCTAGACAACTGCCCATTACAACAGTAGAAGGATTGTTGAAGGCGGAATTTTCTGTTGGGTCCACCCTGAGGCTATATAGTGAGGACTCCAGGCTGGCTGAAGCAGTTAAGTTGAAAGGCAGCCTGTGAAGAGAAGACTAGAAGGTTGGTGTGAAATGTTCGCCAGCCTGGGACCCAGTCACTTGAGAGTTGTCAATTGAGAAGAGTTCTCTATGGGAGGCTTTAGTTAGTTAGTTATTGGAGAAGGTGGGTTTCCCTATGCACTGAGACCAGTCCATTGTGCTTCCCTCTATGATATTCTACCAGTCTCTATACCCTACTGATATTGGTGCGTACCGTCAGTCCCGACCGAGCCAGTGAGTTCGGCCTTTACTGGCTTGGCGGTATCTATAATGCTTCCCCCATCTATCAGAGGTGTTAGAGACTACTGTTGGGCGGGAAATGCCCTTGAATTTAGCTCAGTGACCTTTGGAGATATGAGGTTCTTTTACATGCCGTAAAGCTACGACATGGGACCCACGGCTTAAAGTCCCTCCCGGAGGACCTGTTCCCTGAATTTTTCTGCTCTTAAAAATTTCACGACCTCCGCCGGATTTGAACCCGCATACCACGAGTCATGAGGTGGGAACGTTACCTCTAGACTACCGAGGCCGCTATGGGAGGCTTTGAAGAAAACAGTTAGTTGCAAGAGTGCTGCTGTGAAAAGAAGACTGTAATATTTGGAGTGTGTATTTCAGTGAGACTGTTATAGTTCCTACGTTAAATCTGTTGCCAGGAAACAGCTAGCGGAGACTGTAATAGACTGAGGACATTTGTCTGTGTGTAGTTTCAAGGGGTGTGTACAAGTGGTCAATAAATCCAGTATCCAGTCCATACCCCATCTATAGTCACATAAATCATGACAATATTTGATTTGTTTCATTCTGGTTGATCACACGAACAATATTATAAAAGATAAAACAATTCTGTCTAGTGTGGTTTCGAAATTGTATCGATGTCCCTCTGATAATGGTTTCTAAGGACCAAAACATGTAAGGTTATGAAGAATTGGAATAAGAAAATCATCGTCAGTCACACTGGACAGAATTGTTTTATCTTTTATAACATGCCTATTATTTGCCTGTTTTATTAAAAGCATTTAGGTATTATAGATTTGTTTTTCTCCCACTTAATTCAATTTAAGTAGCTCGGAAAAGGTGGTGTTTCAAATGATTTCAGTGACAGAAGTGCTTTGAATAATAAAGTGAGTTTCATACTGCTTTAACATTTACTTCCATTGTTCAGTTTAGAGCACTGTGGCAATGAATGTGTTCTGAAAGCAAATTTAGTAAAAGGGGTTGCTCCTTTGATTGCATACTGCTCACTGATTTTGTTCTCATGAAAAGCAGTGTACTTCTCCCATAAATTGCCAGACACTTAGTTTTCTCAACTAGCAACTGCCACGTGTTTTTTCCTTTTGGTCAACTTTATTTATTTGTTTTGCTTTCTTTTCATTGTTACTTAGTAGTGGGTGAAGTTTATACCCTTCTTCCACTTTAGATAATGCAGTTGGACATTGGAGAGGTAGCAGCAACTCGAAGTTTTGTGTTCCTATGGTGTGGTTCATCTGAAGGCTTAGACATGGGCCGCTTTTGCCTCAGAAAATGGGGATTCCGGCGCTGTGAAGACATATGTTGGATACGAACGAATATCGATAATCCTGGACATTCCAAAAACCTTGAACCCAAAGCTGTCTTCCAAAGAACCAAGGTATATTATGTTGGATTTGAGGTTCTCACAGCATTTGACGATGCTATATAGTTCTGAGATAACCACCTGCTTCTGCTGGTTTCTTGTGTGGCTTACTCTTTGACTGTGAAGCTGGGATGATATGTTTCTCTGAAACATCAGGCTACCTATTAACTGCATGGCATTTCAACCCAGAAAATCATATTCTGCAAAGTTATGTTGCTTTTTTTTTTTTTTCCAGTGAATGCATCATGTTGTGTATTATATATTTCTTTTGTTGAAAGCCGTAACAACACAACAATTAATAATATATGTTTGTAGTATCAAGTAGTATGTTTTGGCTTTCAAGAAACCATCATCAAGTGAATACACTTAAAAACTTCTTACCTTCTGATACTGCATCGTGTAAAGCATGCAGTTCAATAGCTAAGAAGTTTTAAGTGTATTTACCTGATGATGGCTACTTGAAAGCTGAAATGTGTAGTAAATTACTGCTTGATACTACAAACATATATTATTAATTGTTGTGTTATGATGGCATTCAATAAAAGAAATTATGTAGCTTTGTTATGAAGTCAATATTCAGAATTGCTGTAGAAAATTGGTGTATTTTAGAACATACAGTAAAACTTGGTTATAGCAACATCGGTTTCTGCGACACCTTGTCTATTGCGTCAAGTATTCAATGGTACGAACTAATTCCTCATAAAGCAACTGTTTTTATACCTTGCTTAGTACGACAATAACAAATGCATCAACCTCGTATGTAACGTCATTTTCGTTCCTGAATTTCTCTGATATGGACATTGAACGTAATTTAGAAAGTGTGTATTGGGCAAGTAACAGGAAACAGATGAAGATAACTGATTACTGTACTCGTATCTAGGTACAGTAAGGCACAACAATTGATGTAATCTACTGTAATTTGGTGAGTAGGCCTGTAATTTGAGCTGTTTGAATCACACTCAATATATCTACCTTAAGCTGAGCAAGGCTCTATATTTGATTTACACATTTGGGCAATTCCACGTTAATGTTACGTTAGTCTGTACTTAACTACGTATTTCACTAAAAAATGCAACATTTTAACTCGGTTTTTGGTAGATTTTTACGTGACTAACATAAGGCTACTGTGGAAGTGCCCATTTCGGTTACAACGACATTCGTTTATAACGACACTATTTTTAGGTCCCTTTGATGACGTTATAACCAAGTTCTACTGTATTTGCATCATGCATTATTTCAGGAACACTGTCTTATGGGTATTAAAGGCACAGTACGTCGGTCCACTGATGGGGATTTTATCCATGCTAATGTTGATATTGACCTGATTATATCTGAGGAGCCTGAATATGGATCTTTGGAAAAACCAGTTGAGATCTTCCACATCATAGAACATTTCTGCTTGGGTCGTAGGAGGTAAATTTTGAAGTATTACACTAGTAGAAGTAGCCACTGTTTGCCTTAGTTGTAATTTGTTTCTTTATAGTGTATGCTTGTTTAAATTCATGTTTATACTTGGTCTTCCCTTCATACTATTTGCAGTTATTCCTGTGATAGTCCCATAGGCATAAGCCATGAAAACCTCGTTTTTAATTATTATGATTTTATCAGTAGGACATAATCGGAATCATTATATTCCCTTATGAATAGGGGACAATCACATACTTGGATTTTACAACTCATTCTTTGGAACACTTTTATTGTGTGTCACAATTCATCTGGAAGATCTCTGTCTATTTAAATGCCTTGTGGTTATTGGCAGCATTCTAGTCATTGTATAACACATAGTTTTTGTGTTATATTTGTGTGTTCTTAGAACCAGATGTTTGTGGATATGCAGGGAATTACTGATATGCTAACACAGCCTGTTACATAAGATCTGCCACTACAAATGCAAAGTGTATTTTAACATGTCATGGGCTCTTTATTGCTCCAATTGCTAAAGAAATAGTGTTTCTTATTGAGCATTTTGTTAGAAAAGAGATTTGTCTTATCCAGCAAACAGTATGTTTTAATTATCTACATGAAAAGTTAATAGGAAAAGGCATTAACCAGTGCTTGTTCTTATATTAGAAATTCTGCAAGACATCCAAACAATACTCAGATTTAGGCCAAAATGTCACATCAGTGATTGTAGCAATAAACTAATACCTAATTTATAGAGCTAAGAAAATTTTGAAATTTCATCTGTACAGTAAGGTGCAGTTTTCTGGGTTGTAACATTGTGTAGTTTGGATAGAGTGTGACATTTTGAAGCAACATATCACTGCCATCTACAGGGCAAAAGAATAAGTTAGGCAAGAAACAAACCAGTAGCAGGTGGTAGCCTGCAGCTTGGTGTGTTCCTTCAAAATGTTGGGCTCTTTCCAAATTACACAACATTACAACCCTGAAGACCATATTCTTCATAATCTTAACTGTGAGAACCTCAAATTCAGTATATTGGTTGTGCATAGTTTCCAACCCACAGCTGCAGTGTCAAAAATTGAACCTTATACTTAGCTTTTTAGGAATACTAATGGTATTGTCAGTAGTCTTTGCTTCTTTTTATGATGTATGTTGTCTGGTTTCATCTGAATGATCATATAAACTCTCAAAGCATAAACTTTGGAAAACCCTCATGTTATTCATGAAATACAATTACACAACCAGAAAGCTGGTGTATTGTGTGCTGTAAATGCCAAAAGTGTCATAGACACAGTTATCCGAGAGTGGTCGGTGAAGTATATTTTGGAGCCATTTCTGAAGAATTAAATTAATAAGAAAAGTGTTACATGCACTTTCAGTGGAATAATACATGAACATGCATGTTGGAAGATCTGTTGCAGACTCTGAACAGTTTTCAGTGATCGTATAATTAGCAGAGGACTGTTGCCATCATTTTGTATGAATATGAATATGTGTGACTGTTTATCATTGTGAAATGTGAAGCAGTAAGTTTGTGGAAGCAACCCGCACACATTGGGAGCTACATAAATCAAAACCCAGAATTTGTTTCTAGGATTCAAAATGAAATTGTATGTCTGCCACAAAAGTTTCTTACATTGCTGTGAAATATGCTTCAATATTTCGGGGCACTACTTTCAGCATCTTCTGTACTCTTAGTAATTAAAGTGGTTTGACTGAAAACATTCATCAGATGCAGATGGACTGTACATTACCTTGCCCTGTAGGGTGTGTTTACCTAATTGGTGACTCCCTGCATGCTGACCACAAACTGGCTCAGTGAATATGCGGTGAATGTAACATCAGAAGTTGCTGGTTGTACCGGTCTGTATGAATGATAGCACATAGTAGTTCTTAATTCATAAAGTGACTGGCAAAGGAGATGACTCAGTTCTTTCTGTTATTTGGAATATGGTTCTGCATGTTGTCATGTGATCAAGTGATGATAGACGGGTTTTGGATTGATAACTGGATCGATACAATGCTTTTACAGCTTATGATTATACACTTCACAGATCACTATCACATCCAGACTAGTGTCCTCAGTCACGTTGCTTGGTAATGGCTTCCAACAGTGGACACTCTTCTGCTTCCTGGCTCACGTCCTTACAGGGTGGTGACCATCTCACACCAAGCACATACTCTGACTGCTGGCTTAAGTGGTTACTCCTGTCAGCTGCTAGCTCCCAGGCTGGACTGACTTTCAGCTGCCAACCACCAGCTTCAGCTGTTATTTCTTGACTGGCTCCTGAGCTGAACTAACGTCCGATGCACAATTGACTCCTTATCTTGACTCAGTGCAGACTGCATACAAAGCACTGCTTCCAACAGTTTCTCCATTATTGCATCAAATGTTGCTTAGTGATGGCTTTGGTATTGTTGTATGATTATGAAGCTGTTGCTTAGTAATGGCTGTTTTTCTGGTCCCTTATTGTAGCCGTGACATTGCGCCCTCAGTAAGGCTGCTCTTTCTGAATAGCCTATTGGTATGTCACCTATCCTTCCGTTTACAGGGAGAGAATATTTGGAAGTGGCCAGTGCTCCTACAGCACTGGCAAACGAGTCACTAGTAGCTACTTTTTTTCGTTTGGGTGGGGGCTGATTCTTCCACAATGTCCAGTCACTCGCTTTCCACAGCCCTATGGAAAATCAGACTGCTCGCTTCACAACCTCCAGCCTGAAGGTTTGTCTGAGGGCCGCATAGAATGTCTCCTTGCTTCCTGCTTGTTTCAGTCCTTTGTCCCTTATGGCATTTCTGCTTTTTAGCAACACCTGATGTCACCTCTTAAATGTCCATCTTTTAGGGGCTGATACAATATTGCCCCTGGTCTACCTTTTCCATGGGTTCCTGTATTCTATGGCTGGTTGCTGATTCACAGACTGTTCCTTCAGTGCTTGCTCCGATTATCTGCATTGCGGCCTCTTCATTAGGGACTTCCTCATGCACCTCTATGATCTCTGTTTCCTCTGGTATTGTCTCCCGCTTCTCTGGACAGGCCTTCGTCTCTTCTCATTCGGCTGCCATTATGGTCATCATCTTGGCCTCAAACTTATCCAAGATGGCTACCAGATGTTTTGTCATTTGCTCTGTCATTCCAATTTTGTATTTTTGCAATACAACTCTACTGCAGTCTTCAGTCCAGCAATTCATTTAATCAATCGAGTCCCACTTCTGACACTAGTTATCATATGTTAGGTGACTATAGATGGGTTTTGGATATATAACTGGATTTATTGGACACTTTTACAGCATGTGCCTACACTTTACATGTCACTATAACACACAGACTAGTGTCCTCAGTCTTGTTGCTTGGTAACAGCTTTTAGTGATGTATGTTCCTCTTTCCGGGCTCATGTCCTTACAAAGTGGCGAGCATCTCTTGCCAACCTCACACTCTGACCACTGGCTTCAGCTGCTGTCTTCTGGGCTGGACTGACTTCCAGTTGCAAACCTCCATCTTCAGCTGTCAATGCTCAACCGGCTCCTAAGCCGAACTAACTAACTTATAACACACAATTGACTCCTTATGTAGCCTTGGTGTGGACTGCATAGGAAACACAACTTTTGTCATGTTGCATGTTTATGAAGCTGCTGCCTAGTAATGGCTCTTTTTTCTGGTCCCTCATTCTTACTGTCAGGCCTCATGTCACAGTATGATGGGCTCCTTACTGTCAGCAGTTCCATTCCTTGAAACTGTGTATTGTGGCATGTTAATCATGCTGTGATCGAGTCAGACAAAAGTAAGATGCAACAAAATAAGTACAGGAAAAGTTTACAATGGGAGGAAGGAATATGAGTGTCATTGTGGTTTGGACCATATTGGTCTGTTCTGGCTCATCATACTTATCTTTCACCATGAATGCAACCAAATGTGTTAAGATTTTACTTGGCATTGTTATATAAATGAACTGTGTCAATTTTCTTGATACAAAACATATATTTCTGAACTGGAATTTGTTGTTCTATGCAGATTACATGTATTTGGCCGAGACAGTACTATTCGGCCAGGTTGGCTGACAGTAGGTCCTGAACTTACCAACAGCAATTTCAATGCAGAACTTTATGCCAGTTATTTTTCAAATGGACAAGCAACTACAGGATGCACTGAGAGGATAGAAGCTCTGAGACCAAAGTCACCCCCACCAAAAGGAAAGGGAGCACCAGGTGGACGAGGAAGGGGAGGGCCATCCCGAGGAGGCTTCTCACGTGGTCGTGGAAGAGGAAGATAAGGGTAGCTTAGTGTTTAAATAACTGACTATTTTGTGTCAGAGTTGCAGGCAGATGGTGTTGAAGCATCTAGTCATGATTTACAGTACGAAAATATAGTGCCCCAAAATGATTACTGCACTACAAAGAAACTGTTTGTAAGTAGATAATGTAGAGTTACTTAACAAGGACCAGTGTGTAATGCACAATGTAACATTCCTCAGACTTCAAATATATTTCATCACTAGTTTGTTGAATAAAATGATATGTTGAGATTGCCCTGGATGTTTGAAATTTTGGATGCTGTGTCCATAACTAGGATTTTAGTGTTATCTGTATGTTCATTTTTATGTAATTTTTTAAAATGGCAACATACAAATTTATTATGCATGTACACTAAAATATATATTTTTATAGTACATGACAACCTTAAGGAGCTTATTTTTCATTGGATTATAACTTGTAAGGTTGTGAAGGCACACATTCTAGAATCTGTGTGTATTCAAAACATCACAGTAGTGACATAGTTGAAAACACATAAGGAGCCTATTTGGGTAGGAGAGATGGACTGAGTGAATTAACTGTTTAATGAATTTTAAGCTAACTCTGCTTCTGTAGGTATTTCTGAATTGAAACTAAAACAGTATGTGGTAGAGAAGTGTTACCTTGTGCTTTGGCTAACATTGCTAGATAGTGAAGTGAAGGAAATTATAATGCACTGGATATCTAGCTTGGATAGGTGAAGTGGGAAAGGCTTACATGATTTTGATGGGGAAATCTCTTTGATAACAGCCATTTGAAACACCAAGGAGGAGAGCAGGGGATAATGTTAAAATGAATCTTCCATCAATTTTGAGATATGAAATTGATGGAACTATTACAGAACTATGAGTATATCCAGCATTGGACTTCAATATTAACAGTGTTATACCTGTTCCCAGATAGTGACTGTTAATTAAACTTGAGGTTCCTCTCCGCAGTATGGCTATTGACTGATTTCTACATCAACAAGAAAACAAGCTGCAGCATGCAAAATGACATTAATGTGAGAGAGGCTTTACAATTGACATAAGACTCGTTATCCTTCAGACTAGCTAAGGAGTGAAGAATATATATATACCGTATTTATGCATGTATAGGCCGCAGCACAATTTTCAGACAAATTATAGAAAAAATAATTTTCTTGGAATATTATTTCAGGAGTATTACACCCTGTATTACTAATTATGAATATAATTTTTTTTAAATGAAGTGTCATTTCGAATATTTTGAATATAAGCCGCACCCCAGTTTTCCTCTTGAATTTTTGGCAAAAAATGTGCAGCCTATACATGCGTAAATACGGTATATATATATATATAAGGGTGAACTGTGTCTTGTTGAATTGGTAGGATAAAACTCTAAAGATGGGCTGGTAAGAAGTACCATTGCATACAAGGGAAAAACCACTAAAACGTGTACAGATTTTGATACAAAACCCCATGAAATAGATTCCTTATTACAGTGTCGATGGAAGGATAAAATAAAAATTATCTTAAAGAAAGTGGTTCTTTGGCTGAATATAGGTCCACTGGCAAAGTTTTGTTGAAGTAGTGCTGAGCTGTTGATGACCATAATACTGGCAAGATTATTATGAGGATGTTTTATGTCCAGAAGAAAAACATGGTTTGGCAATGTTACATTAAACGGATGGGTGAGAAAAGTATCAGTTTTTGCTGGAGTAAGAACCCACTGACATACTGGCATTGGATTGTGTTTTCAAGCATGATCTCTTTATACATTGTGTGAGAACATGGGTGTGCACATAGTGGTAGAAGGTGGTACTAATTCTGTTGGTAGGTGGATGTGCCCACAGTATTCTCTGTTTCATCAGTTGTCATATTCCTGAAAAACACTTATTCAGAAGAGCTTGAAACCAGTATTTTACATTTTTCCAATATTGGATGTTATTATCACAAGAAGGAGTGCGACTATAGACAGGTTTTGGGTTGGAGGTTGGCTTTATTGATCACTTTAACACAAGACTTGTTACTACACTTAATTATAGCGCCATTGCTGATCTTCACACTTTACTAGTCACTACAGCACATGCTAAGTCTTTTCAGTCTGCTTTGTCTTCTGCAGTTGTTTCCTGGTAACAGCTTCTAAAGTGGAGATTCTTCAGCTTCCATACTCACTTCATTGCCTTCTGGCTTGTGGCTGCACTGTCTTAAGTCTTCTCTTCAGAGACTCCTTTATAATGCTCTCTCCCAGGCTGACAGCATCTCACACCAACCTCCTACTCTTCGCATCACAAACTGACTTATGACTGACTAACTTCTAAACTTGTTTCAGTTATAACATCTCAAAATGGACCACATAGAAAACACTGTTTCCAGCAGTTCTTCTATTGCTATGCGTGGACTTGTTGCCATGGGAACTCACGTGTTACGCCATCTCTACCTAGTAACGGGTCTTCATGCTACATTATGATTGGAATCTAAGTACACAAAGCAGATCCCCCAGTAGTTAATGTAATCAATCGCTCCTGTTAATGAAATTTAATTATGAACTCATGCAACTGGAATGTGCCCAGTTAGAGACTTCTTAGGCCAAGAATGCTGGTTTCCAGTTATTTCTCATTGAAAAAACAAGACTCAGAGAAGGAAATATGGCTCCAGAGACAGTGGTGTAAGGTAAATGGGTTGTATGTGAATGCAGAAAAGTGTGAGTTTTTGAGAAATAAATAGTATCATATCAAATATGTAAAATGTATACCTTAACTTCTGGAACATCACATACATGAACATAGTTCGAGTAACAGAAATGGGGGTGTAGATGGTAACAAATTGTGTGTATATTGAACTTTACTGAGACATTTTCAGTTGTTTGCAAGACGTGACTAAGTCATGTGATCATATTAAAAATGTGGAATTATTAATGTAGTTGAGGACCATCATCTGTATGAAAATTGAATGTGGCATTAAAAAATATGGAACATGTTTAATAGTATTAATTGAATCATGAGTGCTATGACATTTCATTTTCTGAGGGGCAGTTATTTCTTCATTGAAAAAGTTGGCAGTGTAGATGAAAACACTAGCACTTCTCTCAGTGTTTTTATGAGATCTTTTCTAGTAAGTTATTTTAATTTACATGATCGGAATTTACTTTATGTGATGAAGAAGGGTGCTGTGGCGCTTACTAGGACATATGCCTACAAAGACAGGTTAGGGATGACATTGTGTGTTTTGGCCAGAGTATGACCTTTCTTGGTTAACTTACAGCTTACACTTTACCTTAGTAACTACAGGGGGGAATTCTTACAGTGTTGAACACATTGGTGAAGGGTATTTGTTTTCAGTGTGTTATCAAATTATAAATAGATTTTTTGAATGTATTAATCATTTGGGGCTGTCATATTTTTTTTTTGCCCAGAAATATATATCTTTATTTTCTGTACAGTGACATGAAGTGACTCAACATGTTATGTTTGCAATTAACATCAACATTTGTTTTACATTTCTTTAATAGTGATGGATTTCTGTCTGGTGAATGTTAGAAATGTAATGTGCAGTGTGTTAGTATGGCAATGCTAGTGAATCATTCCAGATGGTTTTTCTTTTCATAATGTATTTCACATATGTCATTAAGCAATACAATGTAATGCACAATACCAGCACTTTTGATATCTGGAGGTTACATTATCCATATCATTATCACTGTACAGTGAAATGTACAGATGCTATTAATCCTTCCAACTCTTCCTAGCACTTCTCTGGCCTCCTTTCCTGCAGGGTCTGTAGTCCATAATATGTCTGGGTATATCTTATAGAGGCATTTTTTATATATGTTTCTGTTGAACCTATGAAAATAAAAGCCTTTTGGCTTTATTGTTTCCCCTGCATAGATTCTGAAATTCTGTCTAGAACTAGGGTTAGGGGGTTCTTATGCTGGTACACAACATGCCAGTTCTGTTGTATGTAATAAGTGTTTGAATTAAATTCGGCCCGTTCTGGCCCTCCACGCCCACAACATGCCCCATATCCCCTTCACCATATAAGAGAACCCTCAACACACTTGTCAGTCATTTACCGCACCCAAACAGGTTACATTGGAGAACGTGCTACAGACCGGTAATCACTCTAATCACTCAGTGCAATAGGGCATGCTTAAACATTGAATTGGAATCCAAGATTTTGATCTCTACACATCAAAAGTACACTATAATATATTCCATTTCAGAAAAAGAAAACTGTTCGCAAAAAAGTAACCATGGCACAATACACCCCCAGTACACTGAATATCCATATTCACATTAACACACATATGTGCACCTAATCAACACCAGTACCAGTATCACATATGATAACATCATAAACTTTTTTTATTAAGGAAATCAGTCAATCTAAACGCACTGACTTACAAATGACCATACCATACAAACCAAATCGCAGTACTATGTAACTGTCTGATAATACATATTGTGGCATGTAGACCCAATGATGGGCAGCAACCATGAAATATGCAGCTACACAACAGCTGTTGCTAGGTAATGGATCTGTAGATAGTGGCCATTGCCAGGGAATGGCCTCAACAGATTCATCATAACAGGCAGTAATGGGATAACTGGAAGGCAGTGTTCTCTACACAGGCTCTGTGATAACTGTGATGCAACAATAGGAGAACTGTTGGGAGAGATGTTTTCTGTGCAGTCCGTGCTGAAGCTATATAATGAGGGGCAGATGCAGTTATGAGAGATTCAGTAGTCTTGAAATGGCAGGGAGAAATCTAGGAGGTTGGTGTGAGATAGCTACCAGCCTTGAAGTTAGTTGGAACAATGAGTTGGTTGTGAGACAGTCGCTGGCCAGTAAGAACCTGAACACAGAAGCTGAGGAAGCTGTGGCATTGATGCCATTATCAGGCGACAACCAGTGAAGTTACTGCAGACTGAGAAGACTTTGTACATGCTCTAGTGAACTGAAGAGTATGTGAATTAGCGTTAGCAAAGTAGTTACTTGTAGTTATGATCTGTAAGTGTTCAATAAATCCAATTACCAATCCAGACCACATCTATAGTCAATCCAATGTGACGATATTAGCATTTACCGCAGTGCCTACATCTAAGTAAAAAACCAACAGAAATTTAAGATCAGCAATTATTTTGTGACATTCCTTTTATACAGGGCAAACTATAAAAATTCATTCGTGTTTAAAACGCCATATTTTCCAAAGCATTACACGTACAAATGTGGTTGATATATAAAAAGAACTGTAAACTCACCAAATTTTCTTCACACTCTACAAATGTTCTATGTGTGCCCCTTGGGTCACACGACACACGTCCAGGTGGTAGTCGAGCTCATTCCACACATTTTGTAGCATCATCCTGTCAATGGTCATCACTGCAGTATTGATGCGTTCCCTCAGCTCTACTAGTGTTCTTGGCAGTGGGGGTACGTAAACATGATCCTTAATGTACCCCCAAAGGAAGAAGTCACAAGGCGTTAGATCAGGTGATCTGGGGGGCCAAGTGAACAGAGCTAAGTCATCCTCACCAACACACCCAATCCAGCGTGTCCTCAAATTGCTGATACCACCCCAAAATGCTTTGTTTACATGGCGGTTCTTTTTTATACTCTCTTTTGAATGCGCGCTGCACTGCTATAACAGACGAACATCTCGCATATTCCAACAAACAAAAACTCTTTTCTTGCTTTGTCGCCATTTTGTAAAGGCACTGAACTCATGCTGCCAACTGGTGCACACAATACAAACTTGGTGAGTTTACGGTTCTTTTTATATATCAATCATATTTGTACGTGTGATACTTTGGAAAATATAGCATTTTAAAAACGAATGAAGCATTTATAGTAGCACTGTATTATAGATACATATAAGCTGGAGACATGGAAGAAAACATGAAGATATCAGCCACGCTATGATAATATTAACATACCAACTGCATATAATGTGTAAATATAATACATAAATTCACACAAACATAAACACACCACTCTACTACCTTTCAGTATATTAGGGGCACATGGTAGTATAGTTTGGTTGAGGCTACAAGCTGAAAAGTTCCTGGTTGAAGTCCTGACGAGGTGGATTTTTTTTTTCTTTTCAGTTTACCTAATCCTTCCAGCCACACTATGGCCCTGAGGTCGACTCAGCCTC